AAATTTTAATTAGGCACATTCGTTCGTGGAGTTTGTTTAGTCAAATTAATAAAAATAAATAAAAGCTTTTCAATAAACAACAATAATGCGGTTTTAAATCTTTTGATGTGTTTTAGTATATGTAATTATTGATTGAAAAAGTGACAAAATAAAAAAAAATAAAAAAAAATTGAACATGTATCATTTTTATTAAATGAAAAGTGAAGGTATAATATCAAAAAAAAATATTTTAATATTGGGAGTCATTGTTTTATGGATTTTTCCAGATGCATAGGACACTATAATAACCAAAGAATAAACATAAAGAGATCAAAAGAAAAAATAAAGATAAACAACAAACTTTTACAATGGATCGAAGTGAAGACTAAAATTTCTAGCTGTTGTCAATAATGATACAAAAAGATTCTTTTAAATAAGAATGAAAGACAACAATGTGAATACTCTCTAGAAAATTACAAAGAATTGCTGTACTTTTTCAAAAAACTTTAGTTTATAATTGAAAAAACTTGACGTTCCAAGAAAAGTGTTACACTTGTCACATTTTAACCAAAGTAATATAATTAATTGGTTTCTCATTAATCGTCATCGAAAGAAAGATGTTGTTCTCTTATTATTTTCAATTTCTCGCTCACCAAATTATTAGAAAAATTCAAAAAAAATTCACTTTGCAACATTTTCACCATTCTTCACCTATCCTGATTAACCCTTGGTAGACCAACAATCGTATATTAGTGAGAGACGTACTTATATTTCATGAGAGTTTACTTAAATTCATAATGGCAATCCATTATTAAGGAAAATTAAAATAAAATTTTATTAAACCCAAGAGACAGTCGAGTGAAGGTAGGGATGGACCGTAAACTCAGATATTCTGAATTTGAAAACTTAGCAAAGAAAATTCAGACATTCTAAATTTGAAACTTGATAATATTTTTGGGGGCAAACTACGATAAATTTATCTCTCATTTATTTTTTAATCCTGTTGTGAATGATCTACCTTTAATCATACTGAGAACAAATTAGTTAAAATACACGTAAACTTATTCAAATATCTCTCATTATAATAAAAAAAAAAAAATTGTATTAATGGATTAATAGATGGTGTGTTATCCTACCACATAAAAGTACAGCCTCATACGTGCATTATTTTGTGTCCAATCCATGGATATCGTAATCGAGCTCTGGAATGGATAGTACAAAAATTTTATGAAGCCAACCCATGAAGTACAATTTAATTTGACACATCAACCGGAGGTCGGCATGCTCATTGTACTACCTTGGAAAATAGAGCCCCGTAGAATTGACCAAAAAAAAAAAAAAATGGTAGGACCATAATATCCAAAGAAATCTTAAAAAAAAGAAGCAAATATCAAAATTAATTTTTCAACTTTGTGTCTTTTATTCTAAAATAGTCTCTAAATTTTTAATTGACTTAATTTAATCTCACAACTACTAATCTTGTATCAATAAAGTCATTCTGTCCATTTCGTCGATTAAAACAAATGGAGGCAAGCCTATGTAGTCATGTAATGTACTTCTGTTTGTTCTAACAATTGAAATTGATAGAACAAATTAATTGATATAAAATTGATACTACTTTAAGGATTAAATTAAAATAATAGAAAGTTTAAAAATTATTTTAAATACATAGGATAAATTTTAATAACTAATTATGATATTTACCTAAAAAATTATTATGACGGATCACAAATAATAAGTGATTAATCATAAAATATTATAATGGACTGCGATTAAGTTTTAATAGTTATGTTTTGACCTTAAATGATGCTTTATTCATTGACCTTTTTCATTGTCTTTTGATGAGAGTTTAAGGGACNTAAACTCAGATATTCTGAATTTGAAAACTTAGCAAAGAAAATTCAGACATTCTAAATATGAAACTTGATAATATTTTTGGGGGCAAACTACGATAAATTTATCTCTCATTTATTTTTTAATCCTGTTGTGAATGATTTACCTTTAATCATACCGAGAACAAATTAGTTAAAATACACGTAAACTTATTCAAATATCTCTCATTATAATAAAAAAAAAAAAATTGTATTAATGGATTAATAGATGGTGTGTTATCCTACCACATAAAAGTACAGCCTCATACGTGCATTATTTTGTGTCCAATCCATGGATATCGTAATCGAGCTCTGGAATGGATAGTACAAAAATTTTATGAAGCCAACCCATGAAGTACAATTTAATTTGACACATCAACCGGAGGTCGGCATGCTCATTGTACTACCTTGGAAAATAGAGCCCCGTAGAATTGACCAAAAAAAAAAAAAAATGGTAGGACCATAATATCCAAAGAAATCTTAAAAAAAAGAAGCAAATATCAAAATTAATTTTTCAACTTTGTGTCTTTTATTCTAAAATAGTCTCTAAATTTTTAATTGACTTAATTTAATCTCACAACTACTAATCTTGTATCAATAAAGTCATTCTGTCCATTTCGTCGATTAAAACAAATGGAGGCAAGCCTACGTAGTCATGTAATGTACTTCTGTTTGTTCTAACAATTGAAATTGATAGAACAAATTAATTGATATAAAATTGATACTACTTTAAGGATTAAATTAAAATAATAGAAAGTTTAAAAATTATTTTAAATACATAGGATAAATTTTAATAACTAATTATGATATTTACCTAAAAAATTATTATGACGGATCACAAATAATAAGTGATTAATCATAAAATATTATAATGGACTGCGATTAAGTTTTAATAGTTATGTTTTGACCTTAAAAATTATAACTTAGTCTTCAAAGGTTTTATTTTGGGTATTGTAATCCTATCCTATCAAACAAAATATAATCCATCACTTAATTTTAATTCAGACCACCGACAATAACAGTATTTTCACTTTTACCCACATCGTTTCCTACCTTTCGATAGGGGAGTAGTCCTCTCAACACGTGTTGGGGGTATTAGTTACATCCTACTCTCCTACACGTGTTGCATGTTGTGGCAAACAATATTTCGTATGATATCTATCTAATGTTACAAATATAAAATTAAATTCTTAATTTATAAAAATAAAATAATGATTAAAATTAATTCAATCTTAATTTATTTTGATTTAATTGTATTAAATTAATCCATTTTTTTTTTGCCAAAAAAATCAACTTCTTTGTATAATCTCTAATGTCAAACAACTCAATTAATGTATTTTTCAATATTAGATAATTACATCAATTCACACCTACATCTCTTTTTATTTTAATTTTAAATTATATAATTAAAAAAATCTAAATTATTATTTAAAATAAAAATATTAAAAGATCAGTTCCATTTTTTTATAAATGTAATCGCTATTTTAATAAAATAAAAAATTATGTAAATGATGCTTTATTCATTGACCTTTTTCATTGTCTTTTGATGAGAGTTTAAGGGACTTCAGTTTCAATAACTTTTATTATGTAATTGACTTTTTTCATTGTCTTTTGACGAGAGCTAAGGGTTTACAGTTTCAAAGACTTTTATCATGTAATTGATTTTAAATAGTTAAGCTGAGTTGAATTTGTCATTGCTTAATTTTCACACCAATATCTAAAAAATAGAACTCTCCTATCCTCCAACTTGGAAAAGGCCCCCCTCTCCTCGCCCACCCCTCCTCCTCCTCTTACCGTCACTTACTTGAGGACATCTCATTCTTTTATGCTTCGTTTGGTATAATAACAAAATAGAATGATAAAAAATTTGAAAGATAAATAAAATATTATGTTTAATAAGGAATAAAAATAAGAAAAGATAGAAAAGTGAATAAACTAATTTTTCTTCTAACTCACCAAAATCAATCCCTCCAAAATTGAAAAAAAAGTGGATCAAAAGTTAATTATTTGTATTGAGATATATTTTATTTGTCTATATATCTTTTAATATATATTTATATTATGTATATATTAATTTTATATAAAAATATAATGATAAAATATATATTTATATACATTAATATCTACGTACCTTGAAATTAAAAATTGCACGTACGTATTAAGATCTATAATCGACTTCTTTCCCTAGATGACACCCAACCTAAGTAAAGCAATTGAGAAATAGATCCGCCCCCTCTCTACTCCTACCCTCACTTCTCTAAGGACATCTCTTTCTCTTAGCCTTTGGGTCCCCACCCCCGCCACTTTTACCTTATTGTGGCTAGTCGACCACCCTTTATTGTAAGTCAACATATAAAACTATCAACTAATTAAAAATTAACAAATTTACCTTGTGATTGCATTATTTAAATAATCACATTTTTTAATCATTATAATTCACCAATTTTATTTATAAACTTCTAATTTTTTTGATGATACCAACTCTCAAAAAATAACATGTTAACACCCTATGTGTTGTANATCACATTTTTTAATCATTATAATTCACCAATTTTATTTATAAACTTCTAATTTTTTGATGATACCAACTCTCAAAAAATAACATGTTAACACCCCATGTGTTGTAGTAGAAAGCGAGAAGGCCACCGACATAAAATAAGTAGGCAGGGGCAGTACAGTCATTCCACAAAGTCATGCTGCAGTCAAAGTTTTTGCTGGTAAAGTCACGAAATTAAAAAAACCCGTGGTATAATGCCAACGGCTAGTCCAAACCGGCGGCATCATATCATCATCAACCCCAAACAACATACATAAACGCCCAACCATACATCCATACATAACTCATTCCGCATTGAAAACGCAACCACCCCCACTTTCTCACCTCCCCTCTCTATAAATTCCCACCTTTGCCTCCATTTTCTATCTTCAAACCAATTCCATTCCTACCCAAACAATACTTAGACCAATAAACTTCTAATTTACAGATAAATTCAAAATGGGTGAGGTTAGTTAGTCCCAAATCTCTCCTACTATCCTCTTTCTATCACATTCTCTTACGATTAGACCTTAATTATATATACCCTTATAGTAATTGTAAGTTCTGTATTTTTGTTGCAGAAAGATGAGAAGAAAAAGGACGGTGAGAAGAAGCCGGAAGGAGAGAAAAAGGCCGATGTCGGCGGCAAGAAAGACGACGGACCCATTACTGTGGTCTTCAAGCTCGACTTGCATTGCGATGGCTGTGCCAAGAAAGTCAAGCGATCTGTTCGTCATTTCGATGGTAAACATTCCACAAAATTACTTTCGGAGCAAAACATTCTACAGAATTAATCAGACAAAAACAATTTAACCCAAATCCATACAATCATGTCCTCTTTTGAATGATCTGGTGGTTTTTGATTTTGGGTTAATTTAATCTGATAATAATTGTCTCAGCGGCCAAGAAGAAGAAAAAGAAGAATCTGATATAATGATTGCGACGAACACCATTTCTTGTTTTCCCCGCCACCAGCTTTACGGAGCTGGCAAGGAACTAAATTTTAAATTTAGATCCGCATTCAACGGTCAATTTTTCACCAAATTATCTTTGAAATTGTTTACCCTATTTTCAAAAATTCAAATCCTATAATGGGATTTGTAGATTTTTTTTTCCTGGGTGTGTGTATGAATGCACATGGCGTATGTTAGACTATAGCTCTTCCCAACCCACATTTTCATGTGGTCCAATGGCTGGTGGTTGTAGGTGTGGATGAAGTGAAGGCCGACAGTGACAAAAACACACTAACGGTGATCGGAAAGGTGGACCCAGCAAGCGTTAAGGAGAGACTCGAACGCAAGACCAAAAAGAAGGTGGAACTCGTGTCTCCCCAGCCCAAGAAAGACGGCGGCGGTGGCGGAGATAAAAAGTCCGACCAGAAAACAGAGAAGAAATCAGATGATAAGAAGGCCGATGACAAAAAACCCAAAGAGGTAATTTTTAACTCCACCAAATTGATAATTAATCACCCAACATTACCGTTTTACTTGATTCGTAGCGGAGTTACATTTTGTTGCTACTCAAATTTTTAACGCCTGTGCGTCAATACTCACCCTAAAAAATCATATATATATATATATTAATCTATTTATATGTTTTGGATTAGTCGCATGTCCGCCGGCTCTATATTTTAATTAATTTTTTTTCAATTATTTATGAGTGATTGAGTCTAGGAATTGTCTTCCTTCTTGATAACTTTTTGGGTTTTGTTCAGAGTTGTTCCAAAAGTTGAAGTAATCTTTAAATTAATTGAATTATTAAATTTGTTGTTTTTGTGGTGGTGGTTGCAGCCTCCGGTGAGTACGGTGGTGTTGAAGATTCAGCTACACTGTGACGGATGCACACATAAGATTAAGCGAATCATATCAAAAGTTGATGGTGAGATTACCTAACTCTCATTACTATAATCTCAGTCACTTTAACAGATATACTTCTTTGAAATATATAATATATATAATATATATATATATATTTTTTTTTTTCTTTCTAATTCTTCCCTCTTAATTAATTATTTTATTACTTCAATCTTCATATTGCTGGTCTGTAATAAGGTTTTTTTAATGATTGAGGTGGTTTGCATGGTGTAAACAGGGGTGGATTCGGTGACTGTAGATCCGGCGAAGGATTTGGTGACGGTGAAGGGGACAATGGACGTGAAAGATCTCACACCTTACTTGAAAGAAAAATTAAAGCGAAGTATAGAAGTTGTTCCACCAAAGAAAGAAGGTGGTGGTGAGAAGAAAGGTGGTGGTGGTGACAAGAAAGAAGGCGCCGGTGGTGGCGGGGACAAGAAAGAGAAAGAGGGTGGTGGTGGCGGTGAGAAGAAGGAAGATGGTGAAGGAAGCAAAGGTGGTGATGGTNAAGGCGCCGGTGGTGGCGGGGACAAAAAAGAGAAAGAGGGTGGTGGTGGCGGTGAGAAGAAGGAAGATGGTGAAGGAAGCAAAGGGGGTGGGGGGCCCAAAGTTGAGGTGAACAAAATGGAATACCATGGATACAATCCTTACAACACTTATTATAGTGTTCCAATGTATAATCAGAGCTATACGGATTATGGTGTAACCATGCATGATCAAGGTCCTAGTAATAGTCATGGTTACATGGTGGAGTATTCACATGCGCCGCCACCAGCGCCACCACCTCCGGAATACTACTACCATGCACCTCAAATGTTCAGTGATGAGAATCCAAATGCTTGTTCTGTCATGTGAAAAAAAATCATTGGGGGAGAGAGTTCATCATTGTAAATAAAGCAATATAGCCAGGCAAAAATGCCAAGTACATAAGAGTTCCTTTAGATTAGGACAGATAATTTCGTATTAGGTAATAGAAACGGTTGAATGGCTGGCCGGCTTGGCGGCAATTTTAACCAGTTTCGTTTGTTACATAGGTTAGTTGGTTATTAATTTGTTTGACTTGTTTGTTGCTACTTAATTATAAATTCAATTTTGTTGTTATGTATGTGTAAGACTTTGATGTATACATCATTGGAATCGCAAGATTGAAATTGATGTTTTAGCCTATGATTTCCACGAGGCCACACGGCACAATTTGGTATTTTCTGTCTTGTTTTATCGGTATGCAACAAAAAAAGATAAAAGTGTTGTAACAAAATACAAAAAATTTATTTATTCAAATTATGCCCCCCCCCCCAAAAAAAAAAAAATTCATTTACAAATGAATGATTATAAACACTTATAATTTATGTCGTGTATAATTAACAAAATTATTTTTGTCCCTTCATGAAATGATTAATTTTGTTGTTTTTATTTAGTGGAGGAAAAATAGCACAGTCATTCTCTTGAAAGAAAATGAAAGAGAAAAATGGTCCTCAATTGTTAAGATTGGGGTTCTAGACCACCCCCAAAAAAAGAAAAAAAAAATAGTAGTGGGGTTTACTGGTGGGGCTCACCAAAGTTGAAATGACATTTAGTGGGGTAACATTGGTCACTTTTTTGTCATTTTGGGCAAAGACAAAATAAATATATTTATATAATAAAATAAGAGTAAGTTTAAATTTTATTTCAGTCATATTTTTTTTCTCAAAATTATCATCAATCACTTACCTCATCTATCATCCCTTTGTCAGAATCAAACTTCAAATGACATCACTCATTTCTATTACACATTTAATTATTTATATATTTTCTCTTTAAAAATATTACATTATTTATTTTTATCATATATTTAATTATTTAATATTTAATTAATTTGTAGTTAATATATTTTGAAAACATTTAATATAGTGGAATCAATTTTTTGGACGCTTGAATTTTATATTTTATCGTGTCTTCAGGCACAAGACTATATATATATATAAGTTATGTAAAAAGAACAATTCAATAGCAGTCAAATTCCATTGTTTAAGTTTATATATATATTGACTGCTATTGAATTCTTCTTTTGACAAGTTATGTAAATACTCATTCTTTCAGGGTTTTTAATATTACAATTTTGCTTTTGTTACTATATACAACAAATCCCTTTACCCTAATATTTTGGATGGTCAATCCGAATTCAAGACTTTATCCAAATACTTATTAAATTTAATTATTACAATTTGTATATGAATCGATTAAAAATTAAACACTTTTGGTTTAGTATATCCTAGGTGGATATATATCTAGTCTCGGAATGAGATGTAAAATTAGACGTCCTGAGTTCGAATCTTGACAACTCTTTAGAGTTAAGTTATAAGAAATTTATTGCTCATTAATATTCTAATCCTAACATAGATGACATATTTTTGACCAAATTAAAGAGAAAATTGGATGGCGTATGCGCAAGGTAATTCAGACACCACAACCATTAAATAAAAAAAAGATATTTATCTATATAGAGTATAAAATTGACATTCTGTATAATTGAACCACTGCTTTTGATCAAACCCGATTGAAGGCCACGGCAATCAAGAGTAGTGGTGCTGGTGGTGGTTGTGCAGTGATCATCTTGGGTGTTTGGTGGTGATTATGGCGTTGCAGGTGGAACGTCCATAGAGGTGACTTAATTTCTGTGGCCATAGTCCATAGAGGTGATGAAAATTGATGATAGGCATAACTGGTGGCGACCTTTTTTTTTTCTGCTTTTTTATGGAAGAGGCTAAAATTTCTCATGGTGTTTGCAATTTGAAGAGAAATCCTAAAGTAAAGTAAAAAAATTAAAACAAGAATCATAATGGGTGTTCTTTTTATTCCAAGAGATCCCAAAAAGTAATTATTGTTACGTTAATAATATAACATTACTTGCATGTACAACGTAAACGTTGTATATATATGTGTGTGTGTGTGTATTTTTAAAATAATCATTGTTCTTTGTTTCCTTTTTTTGGTGTCTACTTCTGAAATTTAATACCACCGATTTCATATATAACAATCTATATGTTCTTTATTTAGATGAACATATATAGTACTTCTAATTTTATAACTTTTGGGGGAATAATATAAGTTTTTGATTTTATTTATTACAATAGNATATATAACAATCTATATGTTCTTTATTTAGATGAACATATATAGTACTTCTAATTTTATAACTTTTGGGGGAATAATATAAGTTTTTGATTTTATTTATTACAATAGAATTTATAATCCTTTGGATCATGCTACAAGTTTTAAGGTTTGAGTTACAATTTTTTGGATCAAGTTATCACTTTTGTGGTAACTTACGATTGATTCTAAGATTAAGCTTATAATGAGTGTTCTTTTAATTCCAATGAGAAACGAGAGATTTACAAAAAATAATCCATATGATCCTTATTTAGATGAGTTAATTCATTAGTTACGATCTAGAATGAGAACCGCTTTCAATTTAGATTACTTCCGCAAATTACTAGTAACATTTTTCTATACCATAGGACTGCATTGCTACCTCAGAAGAAAACACTAGGCATTGGTAAAAACTTGTTCAAGTCTTGCAATATTGTGGCAATTCTCTTTTATTATTACGAGTTACGTGCCCAAATTGCTTAACAAACAGGAGAAGAGGTGCTTTTGAGGAAAAAAAAAAGACAATTTTGAAGGTTTTTTGCTTATGTTCTCACTCATATCTTGAGATATAATCGGTTGAGAAGATGTAATCGTTTGAACTGCTAGTTGCTTTGCCGGTCTTCCAAGCAACATCATACACCCTTATCACATCAAATAATTATGGCTTGAAATATATTATCCACATCAACTTTGATGTCTTACTTGAGCTGCTTCATGTCCGCAGGCTAAGCCTAGGCATCCAAAAGAAAAAANCCTTATCACATCAAATAATTATGGCTTGAAATATATTATCCACATCAACTTTGATGTCTTACTTGAGCTGCTTCATGTCCGCAGGCTAAGCCTAGGCATCCAAAAGAAAAAAAAAAAGGGTAAAATGTCTAAATTAATCTAGAGTTGTAGATTTTTATTTGAATTATTTGTAGCTATTAATCGTAAAAATGATAAATTAATATTAAAAAAAAACATACGTTTGCTAATATTTGTTGAATAAGTAGATAATGTACAATACTAAAAAATTATTTTCTATACCATAAACAAATCCTTTCTACACACAAACACAAATTATTTATTTATTTATTAGTTATAACCCGTGTTTGAAGGCATAATAAAACATAAAATTTGAATTCCAAAAAATTGATTTCAAACACTATGATAGAAATAAGTAATGTGATAGTTTTTAGGGAAAAAATGTATAGGGGATAAAATTCAATTTTCTGTGTGTTTTATTATATAGNTAATGTGATAGTTTTGAGGGAAAAAATGTATAGGGGATAAAATTCAATTTTCTGTGTGTTTTATTATATAGATTTTGATAGCCATCTCACTAGTGTTTTTTATTCATTCAGCAGATACAATAACTTGAGTTGAATTGATGCAGCGACTTGTCACACTCTATTCGAAGTGGTTCACACTTACAAGGCACAATGACAATGGGGGTATAGAAGTTTTTGAGCAGTCCAAAAATCCTATTGTTGTCGCATTTTCGCTACGCAATGGGAGGTGATTAGGTGTTTAAATGTTGCAGTAGAACAGGAGATGTAGAATGTGTTGATATTTTAAGGGACCACATTTTTTATTTGAATTTTCATTGATTACAATTTCAATTCAGATTCCTTATGTGACCTTTCATGGATTAGAATGTGTAAGGTGGTGGCTCAGTTTCCAAAAATACCTAACGGTGCCGTTTTCTTAATCATGAAGAAAATAAATTGGGTAGCTGAAAAATTTGTTGCAGAGCATACATTATCGGTCTCTCAGAAATTTTATCCAGCCCATTTCTTGGTTGAGAAGCATTAATCTGATTGATCGAAACATTTTTAAGGCGGCCATGCGAATTACTTGCATTTAATGCTCTTGTTGTGTTATATGACTTTTATGAAAGAGTAATGTTACGTGGACTTAAAAATTAGACTTGATAATCTGAATCATTGATTTTAGCGTGGGTCCCTGTATTTATTGGGATCCATTACCTATTCAATGGTTGAGATTATCAAGTCTAATTTTTAAGTTTACTTTTTAAGTCCATCTAGCATTACTCTTTACGAAATCTGATGATTGAAAAAAAAACCCGGCTTGTGGGTTTCTTGGTAGTCAGGATCCACGTGAATTGGATAGATGAACTTCACCGCCAATTCATCTGCCACTGCCATGAAATGTCTATAAATTAGAGTGGGTCTCTTGGTTTCAAGGGCATCCGAAAATTGTATTAGTTGTACAAAGGAGTTAAGGGCTTAAGTTTGAGATTTAAATTTGAAAGGCGACACTTGTATCTTTGTACTCGTTTTTCTCTCAATAGTAAAGAAAAAAAGACCGGATTACGTCTCGTGGACGTAAACAAAATAATTTATCCGAACCAAGTAAATCTTGGTATTACGAGTTGTTGTTTGATTTTCTTTATTCTATTAATTTATTTTTCGGTTGTTGTACTGAACAAACTACTGCGAGATTTATTCCCAACAGAATGCACACAGTAACAATAGCCTATTTAATTATGAGTCAATCCGAATTATATATACTTCTAGATAAAATACATAACAAATGTGAGTTAGAATTCAACTTTAATTTGCTAAAGCTTAGCTTTTAGGAGTCATTTGAATTGAATTGGGTTTCTAACTTACAATGAATTTAGATATGGACTGTCTGTGAAAAATAAAATCTGTATGGTATTAAAATCGAACTTAATCGAAAGTATGAAGCTGGGTTCAAATTTCAAGTCACTTGATAGGCCAATTTGAATCCTCAATAATTTTGCTCGGATAAACTTTTCTTACCAACTTTCCTTTAGAAATTAACTTTGAAGCAGTCACAATCCTTAAATATTAGTGGAACCCAGTGAAATTCACTAATCTAATTGTCCACCTGAGTTGTTAAAATCAATTAACCAAATTCAAATAAACGGTGAATAGAGTTCATATTTGATTCAGTAAAAAGAATTCATGGTGCTTTTGAATCAAGTGTTCACCTTTGGTTTAAAGATACCC